CCGCACCACCACGCCCGCGCATGCGCAGCAGGACGCGGTACCGGTGCTCCCCCACAGCGCAGGCGCTTCACCGAGAGAACATGGCGGCGCCCGTGGACCTAGAGCTGAAGAAGGTATAAGTCTCTCTGCCGCGGGTAGTGCGTCCCCCCCGGTGTCCCGGGCGACGCCTACCTGGTCCCCTCCTCTCCTGCAGCTTGGGGTCGGTTTGGCCCCTGCTGTCCGGCCTTATCAGGGCGGGGCCGGCGGGCCACGGCCTGTTAGGGCCGTCCCTCATCGCCGCTGTTCTTCCTCCCCCAGGCCTTCACCGAGCTGCAGGCCAAGGTGATAGACACGCAGCAGAAGGTGAAGTTGGCCGACATCCAGATCGAGCAGCTGAGCAAGACGAAGAAGCACGCCCACCTCACCGACACGGAGGTCATGATGTTGGTGGATGAGACCCGCATGTACGAGGGTGTGGGGAGGATGTAAGTACCTGGCTGGCCTGTGGTGGATGGCGCAGGCTTCCTTGCTGTGCCGGGAGTGGCTGGCTGGCTCCCTGCTTGGGCGTACCTAGCTTCTGTAGAAGAGTGTAGTTGTGATCGTGGCCCTATGCACACCAGCCTTTGTGTGTAAGAGGCTTCTAGGCTGCTGCCCTTGGTAGGAGGCTTTTGCCTTTACAAAGAACATGGCAACTTTCTCAGCATGTTTATTTGTTTAATTTTTTCTTGCTGTCTTTCAGTTCCAGCAACCTATCAGGGACTGCAGTGGGACTTGCTGGCTTTTCTGTCTGGGTTAGCTGCCATCTGCCTTGAAGAAGGACTGTTCTAAATGTTATTGGCTTTGTGTGGTTTTGCTTGCTGGCTGTGCTCCTGGCCATGATGGTCTTGTCTGACACCTCTGGGAGGGTTTGTAATCTAGACTAGCAGAGCAGCATTCTAATGACTAACAGTGTTTGTGAAAAAGCTCTCGCAAATCTCTCCAGCTTCGGTCATTTCCAGCGTAGTTTACATCAGAATCTTTGAAAAAACCCTGTGCAGGGTTCAGGTGGTCAGGGATTTACTCAAACAAATGTACTACAGAAATGCCCTTTGCAGTATCTTGCCAGGGAATTGATCTAATGAGTGTTGCCTGGATTTTTTTTTAACCCTTGGAAGTGAGCATAAAACTCATAAGGATAGTCCCACTGCACTCATAAATGTGTGTTTCTGTGTGCTGGATGGCTGTCAAAAGAAACACCTTAAACCAGATGTAACGTGTTTTGATTAACTTCCACAATGTACTTCTGTTTTACTTCAGCAGCCTCTGGTAGAAGACCATACAAAGTGGTTTTAAGTCTGAAACACGTGCTTGCTTGGTAAATATCACACTAGATTTCTGTGTTTCTGATTTGAGAGTACTGTGATTTTTTTTCTTGTGTCTGTTTTGAGTTGGGTAACAGTGGTTACTCTGCTCAGCTTGGGAATGTGGTTTTGCAAAACACTGAATCTGCTCTGACTGCTGCCAGAAGGGATGTGTATCAACCTCTTCCCCACCCTGTGTTTACCCCACCTTCTTGGTGTCGAAGTGGATGATCAGTGAGCCAGGTCAGACTACAAGTGCCCTGGTCCCTCAGATCATGTAGTCTCCAGGCTGAGTTGTAGGGAGGTGGCAGGATTGGGAAGCCACAAGTGCTGTGTAGTTTGCCCAGATGAAGTTGTAGCCAGGCTAATGGAAATGTTCAGCATGACAGTCCCGTTCTTGGCTCTCAGTTAATAAAGCTTTCCATGTCGGTCAATTACATGTTGAGTTTGTGTGGGGATGCTGGTGACTGGTACCTTAGAAGGATTTTGGTCTCTTGCAAGAGGCGACTGATTTGAGCAGGACAGGTTGTAGGCATAGCAAACACTTGTGCTTGGAGTAGTCATAAGGCTACTCACAAGGGGGTGTTTTTCTTGTTGGATTTGTCACAGAGCAGACAGACAGAGAGTAGAAGATAATTCTGGAGTAAACTTTTTTTTTAAAGCTTTTTTTAAAATCCAGAAGTACAGAATACTTCTACTATATGGAGAATTCCCTCAAGACACCATAAAAATGTGAGCATGTTGTTCTTTATCATAAAGTAATCCTGCTTGTGAATCAGATGGGGGTAGCAGGTGGTGTTTCACTGGGTGAAATGCATTGTCCTGCTTTCTGCCTCCGGCTTAGGAATAGGAGATGCTTACCACCTTTGTATCCTAGACCATTTGCACTTTCCATGTGCAGCAGCTGTGGGAGTGACAGCCTTCTGGGGAGTCTTGCTTACTTTTCTGTGACCAGGTGGGGTGTCTTTGGCATGGCAGGCAGCTCTTGCTCCTCAGGGATGGCAGAGGCGCCATCAGAAAAATATTTGCATTATGGTAGTGTTTGAACCATGAAGAGCTGAACTCTTCATGGGCTTTGTAGTAGTTGCTATGCAAATATAGACAAAGAGAGTGCTCTTCTTCTGAATACTACTCATTCACTTCTTTTTTTCCCTCTCCTGCCGTAGCTTGGTAACGGTATTTCTGTGCGCTCTGCCTGTTCTGGCCATGGGGCTGAAGGCTGCCTTGCCAATTGGCAGTAATGCTCTGGTATGGTCTGTGTCACTCCCTAGGCTGCAGAACATACATCAAGGAGGTAAGGCTCTTCCTGGAGCCCACTCCAACCACTAATGGGGAATTCTGCAATCTGGGCTTTTATCAAAATAGGCTAAACTAGCCTGTGAGCAGGAGTTAAAATCCAAGGGCAGTCTGGCATCTTGTATTCCACTGGAGACCAAAGGAGGAGGTCAATATGGTTCTTCTGGACATATAAGCTATCTTCTGTGAAGTGGAATTGCAGACTTTTTTAGTTGGTTGGCTTCATTGTCTTGCACAGATGTGGGATTTCAGCCACCAAAGGGATGCTTATGATGTCTCAATTTCTTCTGCGTAATCTCACATACAAATGTTAGAGCTCCAGTGGGTTTCAGTTATCTGGAAAGGCTGCGCCAGTGTTAACTCTGATTATCGGTGCTTGCTTGAATGGCTAAATGCTTTGTGCTTCTATTCCTGTGATCAACTTTTCTTCTTGAACCTGTTTAAGCTACTACTTAAAATCTGGCTTCTGATAGAGTTTCTCTGGGTTTTTTTCTTCAGCTTTGGTGGTTTGGGGTGTGTGCAGAGGGCTAGTACATACACTGCCATAGGATAAGATACTCCAGGTCTTTGTGGAATTTGAAGGCTTGAGGAACGGTGGTTATGTGCTGCATCCTGGAAGGAAGTCTGCCTAATTCAGTACTTGCTTCTGCACTACTTGGAAAGCAGTCGTGCAGTTTTTGTTCTCTGAACCCCTATTTTGAGCCTCCGTCCTTTCCAAGAGGTTTTCACTGCACTGTTGATGAATGTGACAGTAATTTATTGTTTCCCAAATTGGTTTCTTTTTTTATTATTATTGTTATTATATTGCAGTGTATATAACATGCAGAGGCCTTACTGGCCTCCACACATGGGGCTCAACTTACTTTTGCTATAGCTATTTTTGGTTTGACACAAGAAATGTCAGTGCCACACAGTATGAGATGATGAATTGCTGTGTACTGTACATATCTGTGAGGCTGGGATATCATCTGAGTGGTGGCATCTTGCCAAATACATTTCAATTCTGTTACTTCATCCTCTCTCAAAAGGCCTGTTACGTAGCCTGAGACAACTACCACTATGCTGAACTTCTTAAGCTATTTGTGCACTGATATCATCATACTGCTTTGAGAACTATGCTGAAAGTTTAAGCTTCAGAATACTGTCTGAATATTTTAGACCTTTCCCTTTACATTCTTTTAACTCATAACCTGGACAAGATCCTTATTCACAGAAGAAAAATGTCTGGCACTTGTGCTAGGCACAGTGAGAAAAGCACTGCAGGTTTTCGTGCCATGCCAAGATAGTCAGTTTTGGGTTGATATTGCTTTATCATCAGTGTACTTCTACAACAAATGGGAGAACACTTAGAAAAATACAATATAAGAAAGTAAAAATCAGGCAAATGCTATAGCACAACTTTATGTTCAAGGTTTGCTGCAAGTATAGTGTATTACTGCAGCTGTCCCTATGAAGTGACTTTGTGCAAGTGTAGTATATTATGGGGACAGCTGTAGTAATGCCATTTTCACTTTTGCTGAGTGTTGGTTTGTTTTTTTTTTTTTTTTTGTTTGTTTGTTTCTTTAGAACGGTTCACGTTGGTGGCTAAACCATATACAAGTGAAACCTGAGAGGGGATGAAATGTTCTTGTTC